CTGTCCGTGTTCAGTGGCCGCTCTCGCAGTAACACCACCAACTCCACCACCTCTTCCCGCCGTTCCCCCGCGTCTTCCATGACCTCCGTGGATGCAGCATCGCTGCCTTCCCAGGATGACCGGACAACCTCGGCGGCTGGCGTCCGCCATGAACGGCCCGAGAGCGTGACCAAGTCGCTCCTTTCGCGGGGAAGCCGTATCCTCCGTCGTCAGGGAAGTAAGTTCCACATTGTCTCCACGCTGGACGAGGAGGATGAAATGGAGCGTGAAAAGCCTCGCTTCGAAGTCTCGGAGATCTTCAGCCGGAACAAATCACGCCATAGTGATGCGCGTAAGTCTTCCCTGTCATATGCGGATTGCGCTGTGACTATCGGCCCTGTAACCAATGCTCATACAATGGACTTGCCACAGATGACCAGCTAAAGAATCTCATCTCGGATCCTTTTGACTTCCATCATCTGACTCATACGAGCCCGTCCCAGTTCCAGTCGCTGGAGAAAGCTCGAGAGACTGACTTAGTCACTGAGTTCTCGGCCATCCGTGCCTCTCAGAGGCCTGTCACCAACCTGAAAGGAATCCGTGCTGAAGATCTGCACTTCCGTGACTTCTCCACGGAGGACCTTACCCAGTGCGGGACGGCTATTGGCTGTGACGACGTTGTGCCCCCTCCGCCAACAAGTCCACCAGCATCTCCAGGCGGCTCCTCGTCTGTGAGTCCCAAGCAGCGCGACGTCAGAGTACGAAGAGAATCGCGCGTCGTTGAGAACTTCTCGCGGCCTGTCCCAAGGTTTCCTAAAGTCGGGTCAACTACTCCGCCGCCGAGAGCCTCGTCCCCGAGACTGGCATCCTCCCCTGAATTACCTGAGCCAGCTCCTCGCGCCATTGACGAAATCCTGGGCCTGTCGACCCAACCAACATATCCCGAGCATGTATACTCGCATACCGAGGATGTAGAGCAGGGTGCTGCTTGGCCGCAAATCCCTCTGGAAGACATGTTCCAGCCTCCTTCGGGTCATGCGTTTGCGACCAACATCAACAACGAAGTGATGAATGCCCGCACCTCGTCAATGTCCTTACCGACTCTGTCGTCAGACTTGGAAGACGTGCCTGAAGAGGAGGAGCCGTCCCCTTGGCACGAAGGACCCGGACTCCAAACCGACGAGGTCTCCCCTCGCGCGCCTGTTATGTCAAGATCTCCACCTTTCTCCGAGGCGCAATCTCCTTCCACCACCTCCATGGCTGGCCCTAGGTCCGACTTGTCCATTTATGTCGCCGAAGACTTGTCAAGAAAGTTTGCCGAGGCACTGGGTTCCCCCACCCTTCCACAGGATCGTATTGCTACGGCCGCACCACTGCAAGAGTCCATGGCTCGAGAGCCAGTTCGAAGGCGATCCTCAGTCAACCTGAGAGCCATCCAAGAAACCATATATGAGTCTTGGGACGCAGACATTGACTACTGCTATGAACATGCTGCCGAGTCGAATTGCAACTTTGACTGGACTCGCAGTTCACTTGACGAGCCTCGGCAAGACGATGCGGAACATGGAGTCACTGGCACGGATGAGAATAAGGCGTTGTTTGAGCCAATGGGGCTGAGCGGGTCGGTTTTGCCCGCTGCGGACTTGGATCATGTACCCAGCGCACATGTAGTGGTCACCTCCACCACCCTAGATGATAACACTGGCATTGCTGTGACGCAGCGCGACAGTGATTATTTTCAGCCTGTCAGGTTTGCCCCCAGCTTGGGGAAACAGATCAACCCCGACTCGCTGTATGATGAGTATTTGACGGCGGACACGGAGTCAGACCGACACTTCGCCTTCTACTCGCAGCCGGGTGTGATCCAGCCTATGGACCAATCCGTGTCTCCCCGGAGCAGCTTTTCCCCCATTAGCAAGTGTAACTCCCAGGAAAGTTTGATCTTGTCTCGCGCCGCGTCGGTGGTCCGCAAACATCGTTCCTCCGTCTCGACCGCCAGCGTTCCTGATCTGGTGCACAGTCTGGCAAGCAGCCGTGAGTTCCACCCATCTGAGCAGAGGCTCTCAGGTGAACTTTCCGGAATGGGGCGCCCCGAGTCTTCCCATCATCGGCAGACCAAGAGCCTGGCCCGCGAAGTTGAATCCCAGCTTTTCCGAGCCGATGGCGACGCAAGCCCCGAACCATCAGGCTATGCGTCCACCGTGGGTCCTTCCATCCACGATAGAGCCAAGTCCACCACTGAAGTGGAGGCAGGCCCATTGATCGCTAGGGCCATCAAGAATGATGCTGCCTCTAGGGCCGCCCCTCGGCGTAAGGGCCGAGCATCCTATTCCCTCTTCCCTACTCCTGCAGCCAATTGAGCTGCAATCAACCCGACGACAACTTGCATCCATCCCAGACCCCTTGTTCTCAGCATTCTGCGACATTCCGTTCCTCATCCTTTCACTTATAGAACTTCTTCAACGACTTGATGATTCATATTTATTTTCTCATTTTGGTGGCTTGCGTTTCGATTTCCCTGCGACGAATGTTTTTCATCGAACAGTCATTTGGTCCCACTCTTGGGGGCTATGCGCTTATGTTTTCTTTGTTGTTTCCTCAGATTTTCTTCACTTGCATTTCCTGGTGCATTTCTCAGCGACTGTTTTCCTCGGGAAGAAAAAATCTTGGGTGTTTTTCTGGCAATGGAGGATTTGGAAAGGACAGTGAACGGGGTTTCAGTCGGAGAAGCATTCGTTCGGATTTATATTTTCATTTTGTTGGTCTGGTTTTTGTTTGGGTAGCTGCTGCAGCTGCAGTGGCTCTTGTGTTGTTCAACATCCATTGCCGATTTAGGTCTGTGTCAGTATATAGATAGAGCAGGAAGGGATAACTGGGTCTGTCTGGGAAGAGTTGTCTGATACGAGGTTTACACGCGGGAAAACCGTGAAGAGGAAAAAGTGATGATTATAACATCTGATATTACTGTCCCTATAGCATGAATGGCGCTATTCCGCGGTTCAGTCTTCAAGTACTTGGAATTGCAGTAGCAGGTGTTGAATTGAATAAGCCCACGTGCAGACCGGGGCCACCTGATTGCCATGTGACGCCAATCCCTCACCGCCAATCAGGGCGGTCAGGGTGTTCTGCCAGTAAAGCGCTCCTTCCTCTGCTGATGTCGGAGATCGCTCTTTCTATGTCCGTCATCAACGCTGACGAGCATGTCGTCTTCTTTCTTCTCCTTTCCTTCTTCATCATTTAGGAGTTCTCTTCTTCATTAGATTTCTGCTCGGGTCCTTGTTTTACTCACGATTACCAGCCATGTCCGCCGACTCTCAGGCTCTGACCAAGCGTCAAAGCGACACCAGCCTTATGCCCCCGCCGCCGCCACCCAAGCGTATCAAGCGGCCGGCCACTGTGTTGGACGAAGACGTCTACACCAATGCTCTGTCGGAGATCATTGCACGTGATTATTTTCCCGGTCTTCTAGAAGCCCAGGTGAAGCAGGAATACCTGGATGCGCTTGATTCGAGAGACAAACAATGGATTGCAAGCTCCAAGAAGAAATTGACCGATCTCTTGAAGACTCCAGGGAGAGCTCGATCGCATTCCGGATCAGCCAGTATGACACCGCGAGCCACCAATTCGGGACGTCCTGAAGATACCCCGATGGGCTGGGGAGGAGATACACCGATGTCAGTCATGTCAACAACATCTTCATCTACTACACCTAACGTTGACCATGTTACGACCCCGGATGTGTCCCGCCTTGGATTGCTAGAGTTCCAGGCCAAATATACGAGCGAAGATAATGAGTCATTCAACAAACTGCTCGATAAACAGAATGAAAAGCACCGCGAGAGATATAAATGGTTGTGGAGTGGGAATAAGATCCCAACTGCGAGACAGATCGCGCACCGGCGACAAGAAGCTAAACGGATCGAGGCCCAGGGCGGTAATCCAGATCAGCTCAAGCAGATAGCTATAAAGACTGACCTGGACGCCCGGCCCGCGAATCCAGACACTTGGAAAACTCAACCTGAGAACTCGCTCATGTTTGCGCCTTCCTCCATCGAGGATTCATATGAAACTATACAGCAAAAAGCTGAAGCATCGTCGCGGGCAGGCCCCAAGCGGGTAGTGTTTCAGAACACACGGTTACCAGATGAGAGCATCCAGCAAACGTCATCGGACGCAAATGCACCCCCGCCCTCACCTTCGATTTCGGCCATCAAAGACGCTATTGCCGGACACCCTCGTCCCACCGAATCTGAAGCAGTATATACAGGGGGTGAGACGCCACGAGTTAATGGGTACGCCTTTGTGGATGAGGATGAGCCTGAATATCCCCTCACTTCATCAAATGACAATGACAATTCTGCGATATCTCCGGATGATATTCGCCTGCTTGGCGGCAGTGATGCCACGCCGAATCCTTTCGAGATCAAAGAAAACCGGAGACGGGAAGATATTCACCACCGCATGGTAGATCGCGTAGCGAGGTCTAAGCGAGCAGAGAAATCCCTTCGTGAGACAAAGACCCCCGTAACGCCACGGTTTGCCAGCAGCCCACGATTGGACTTTGGTTTGCGCACGCCAGGTGCAGCTACGCCAGGAGGGAGGACGAACAAAGCGTTGACTCCCGCAGCACAGAAGTTACTCCATCAGGTGGGAAGTACTCCTCGTCTAGCGGCATCATCCTCGAGCTCATCTCTGAGGAATATGTGGACACCGACCCCGAAAAGGGGCAAATAATGTGGTGTCTGCTCTCACACGGACTTCTCTTCCTCTTTTCAAGCATATTGGGTTAGCGTTTGTGTTTCAACTTGTCATTATTAGATACCAGTGGTTTATAGAGGCGTCATGGATAGGGGATTCTATGCGACTATGAGATAAAGGTTGTTAAGGGTTCAACGTTTCCATTACGACAGTTGCCATCTACATTCGGCAACTGTCACATAACAATGTATATACTAATTCGGAAGTGTGAGGTTTCTAACTAGCTAGCTGCCAGTTGGTCTAGTATTGAAACAGATTTAGGCAAGTGTGAAGACTTTTTGGTTGTAGAAAAGACTGGCTCACCTGCCAACTATAGGCCACTGTAATTTTCACAGCTTACATCCCTAGACTACTTCTCTTTTAAGGGTTATCTTACTGAATATAACAGACGAGCTCTAGGCTGTATCATACAAGCCATCCTTACGCAGAGGGGGTATCTATTTCGCGTCATCGTATTAGCTATGCACATGCCATGCCTCACTGGCCCAGCATTATGACTCAACCCATCTATGCCCGCTCTAACATACCGCAGGTGATCTATGTATTCCACTCTATACAGAGCCGGTGTACTTCGACTAGTGAAGGAGGGAGGGGAGAAGATAAAGAAAAGACGAATATTTTAGAGGATAGTTGCACCCACCCTAACTAACCCCGTCCAATAACTCCAACTACCCAAGAATCCAGAACGAAGTCCAAACACCTATCACCATATACAGGGAGATCCATATGCTCTCATGCAAACTGGAAACAGCATTAAGGTAATACGCTGCTCCTAGATAACTGCACGTGATGTCACCATTAGGGTCGCGCATGCCGTACGAGACATTCGCCCGCGGGCCTTCTGGACAGCTGAAGCCTAAAATAGAAGGGCAATTTCGGACAAGGCTGTGGCAGACGCCCTGGCAGGGGAGAACTTCCTTGTACGGACCGGGGCGGATCAAGCTGTCGATTAAGGGGTTGCGAGAGTTGTTCGTAGCGGGACTTTTCAGGAGGGAGGAGTTGGTGATTGAGGTGCCGTTGAGGAAGGGCTGGCCTGCATTACGGATTTGAAGGAAGGTGGCGTTGCTGGAGAAGTCTGCGCATCGGGGGATTGTCACGGCGCAGAGCCACTGCTTGTATGCGTCGGCGCAGGTGTCGCAGGATACGGCGAGAGAGAACATGCTCTCGCTGGAGGTGTTGCATTGAACTTGTTGGAGGGAGTAGCTGAAGTTCTGATAGAAAGATGCTGCATTGTCGTCGTAGATCTTGCGCAGCTCTGTCATGTTGATGGAGGGGTTGGATGGCACTGCGTAGGCGACTTCGGAGCAGAATGGCAGGTCGTATACAACGGCACAGTTGTCATCTGTTTATTATTTTGTTAGAGTCCGATAAGACCGTGGTCTTGGGGGTCATTGTCCCTCACCTGTTTTGGTTGTGAAATTCATGCGTGGCCATACTTTTCCTCCACCTCCTACGATTCCATTGCCCCATTCGGTGGAATTACCCTCACGAGCCATGATTCCGTAGTAGGTAGATGACTTATTAAGACCGGTGACATAGAGCTGCTCAGTTGGCCTGTCTACTGCACCCCGGGTAGTTATGCTTGTCGCAACCTCGCTTTTCCCGATCTGCGCCAGCGAATCGAGAGCGCAGAATGACCGTTCCAAGCCCGATATGGACGTACTGTTGATATTGTTGGCGAACATTGTGTATGGAGGTGTCATGTCCATCCAGGAACTGTAGTTCTGCGACGTAAGATCGGAGTTGGTGAGATTCCTAGTTGTCAGAAGCGCTGCCCCAGTGTCCGAATCAACTAAGAACATGAACTGATCACTCTCGTCGACACTATGAAAATAAGCATCGGTCGAGGCCGCAATCTGGTAGGTGAAAGAACCAGAGTATTCAGTGCTATTTGGAGCCGTCACTCCGACATAGACATCGCCATTTGCCGTAAGGGTCATGCCCACATAGCCCTCCTCCGCTGATTTTATTGTTTGGTCGGACTCGGACTTGTCAGGCCCGGGCTTCTCTATCAATTCAGATGCGTAGACTGTCAGCTGCGGTACGGCTGCTGTGCTGGTGGAATCCGTGTTGTTGTGGCTGGGCTTGGAGCATGCCGTGAGGGACAGATAAACGGTGGTCGAACGCTTGGAAAGATCACGACTCTTCTTGTTCTCAGAGGTGCTGTTGGTCTCGTCGCCATTCACGGGGAAATACCACCATTCCGTCTCGCCCATCTTTAGAGTGCCATTCTGATACTGGTTGTTTCCGAGGGATGTCACTCCAGTGGGAGCCCGGCGAACCAAGTCGAGTCCGCGCGCATCCCCCTCCTCGTCTACCACATCTTCAAACTCCAAACCGTTGTATTCTGCGAGTGGAAAACTGAATTCCGGACTAGCTTCGCCGAAGAGGAAGTGGCCATGACTTCTGGAGGCCAGCGATGGGGTATCTGGGTCATTCTCATCAGCAGTCGCAGCCACTCTACCAACGCAGATGGCCAAGGCAATTGCGCATCCGAGTACCGCGCGGACAGTCGCACGCCGGCGGCACTGTAGGCGTGGCGGTATAAGCCGAACGAACATTCAGAATGGTTGAAGGAGGGTGGATTGCGAAAGGAAGGTCATCCGTCAATCGATATCCATGAGCTGTTTGGTGCCGGAACGTAACAACTTCCTCTCACGGCGGAGGCCAGCCGAACTGTGAGGGGAAAAGCAGGTACCAACGGGGATGAAGATGCGATCGGGGGCTACCCCATGAACTCAAACAGCATTCGCCCCGTGTGGCGTGAGTCCGTTCAACCTGGAGTTGAAAATCCCAGTCGCTTGGCTGCTGAAAATAGGGGAGATGGGCCTGAGGTCATGCTGGCTGGAGAAGAAAGAGTCTGGACTCTCATAAGGCGTGGATTTGCCGGTTGCCTGGAGGCTCCGAATCGCAGCTTATCTTGGCGCCGCCACTCACTTCCTCCGAGAACCTCAGCATACTAGCAATTACGTGCATCCATTTCTACCTCCTTACTTGAATTCTACGGTATGCTTCGTGGCTTAAGGGGAAAAAATGTCCTTCATGCATATCATTCACTACTACAAAACAAGATGACGATTCATGTCTATCGGCTATTTACGTGCATGATCATATTGACAACACCCCCAACGGCTCACCCTGCTAAGCTTATACAAGCTTGTAGCAGCGAGCCACCACTCCACTGAGAATGACAATAGCTGCGATGACCCCAAGAATCCCAAAGAACCAGCCGAGTCCTGCCGCATCTTGCCCAGGGACGCGAACGTTCATTCCGAAGAGACCGCAGATCAGGTTCATGGGGACCAGCATGGTGGCAATGAGCGTCACCTTGCTCAGAACTTTGTTGACGTGATTGCCCAGCATCAAATTAGTCACGTTCAGCTGCGCAAGATAGTTGGTATGCGAGCGGCTAAGCATCTTCTCAAAGTGCGCCAGGTTGGACATCATGGTTACGACGTGATCCTGAATGTCACCCAGGTAGAGACCGATATCGCCACGCGGCGTCACCGAGTACTGCTCGTTGCAGCGCTTGGAGAAGCCCCGGATGACATCCGCCTTGCCTCCTAGCAGACGCATCAGACTCATGACTTTCTTGCGCAGGCCACCGATGCGCGGCAAGAATGACTCGAAGTCATCCATACGCGCAATGAACACGAGATCCTCAATGGCCTCGGACTCGACCTCAATTTCCCGAATGACGGGCCCAAAACTATCAACGATATCGTCGCTATATGGGAATTAGCAAGACTGGTCCAAGCGAAACACTCATCATCTCAAAGTGCTTGTACAAACTTACATCATGGCATAACAGATCCAGTCACTACTCAGCGATACATAGTCACGGAGCTTTCCAATTCTCCTCCGGACGTTAGCGGCGTGAGGGTTGTCGGTGAAAGAGAACGAAAGCACCCCATCACGGAAAACGACCATATAGAAATTGACTGGCTCCATGAAACGCTCGTCCGCCTTGTCCACCTGGTAGAATGTCCGGAAACAGACAAAGTAATACTGCTTGAAGAGCTCGACTTTCTCGCGCGCTTCCTGAGTCAAGATATCCTCTGTTGTCAAAGGATGGATAGAGAAAGCTCTGGACAGAGCGCCCACCTCATCCTCAGTGGGGTTCAAGACATCAAGCCACCAGACACCTCCGTCCGGGCCCAATTGGAAAAGGTCTCGGAAAGTGTCTCCCGGCAAAACCAGGTCACCCAGCTCGGCAGCATGCACGGTACTCTGTGCCTCCGACGAAAAGAATCCGAAGCGAGTAGGCTCATTCGCGTTTTTTAGGGTTGCTAACAGTTCTTTTTCGTTGACAACTTCAGAAAAATCCTTCTTGTCATCCTTCTCCAAAGTGGACTCCAAAATGTCTTCTGACGAACGCTCAATGCTTGACGAACGCTTCTCCACGTCCTTCTCGGACTTCTGAGCACCTGGACGAGAGTCATAAAACACCCGCGGCTTCTGGCTTTGCGAGCTGACGCTGTGCTTGCGCCGGTTTGCGGAAGGTTTCGCCTTTTGGTTGAGAGCAACGAACTCCTCCAGTTCCTCGTAGTCGATCACTGGAATCCTGCCAGGCTGTTCAAACGTCGGCAGACAGCCATCATCGGTTGGCTCCAAAGTTAAATCTCCAGGCTGCGGCCTAACCACACTCGCGTTGCTGAAGGTCGGGCGGCGAGGATGTGTGCCACCAGATACCGTGCGCTGGAGAATGGCTTCCAAATCTGGAGCAGCATGGCTTTCCAAAGTATTCGCACGCTCCCGGCGACGCGGGTCTGCGAATGCTTCAACCGAGTTGGGCGGAGACGTCGACCGAGCGGACACAGACGACTCGCGCGACAAGTTCGCAATATCCTGATGCGTGCGACTATAGGTACGGCCGTGGCGGATGTTCCCCGTGGGATCAACTGAAAAGCGACGTCCCATAGCATTGAAATCCTTGTCTGATCGATCATCATCCACTACCGCGGTTTCGAAATCACGCGATAGAGAGCCAGCTTCCCGAAGCGCATCCTCGATGTTAAGCAAGTCTGGGCGCTGGGGCGTCTCGGGGTTGAAAGCCTGCGGGACGGTATTTTGCCGACTCAGCGGGACATCGGGGGTGGCTTCCAGGCGTGGCGCATCTAATTGAAATCGATGATCATCCAATTCGGGGACCGGGGTTCTGAACCTGGTCAGGCACATGTATTTCTCGGACTTCGGTGACTCGGACATTGTGGCTATGTCGGTGTTCTTTTTTTATTCTTCCTCGCGTGGGTATTTATAAGGGAGTTGACGAAACGAATTTGCTGGCGGGGAGCCAATATTGTTGACTTATGGTTTTTTGAAGTGATTATATGCGCGGCGGCGTTCGAGGGCGCGACGTCGGAAGTTGTAGACTGGATGAGAAAGGTCCCAGGGCGATTGCTCCTCCATCCATTAGCCAGACCCCTCGCAAGGGCCTGGCATTACCGATGCGCGTCCGTGTGCCAGCTTTGAGACTGCTTGAATAAGCTCTATTAGGGGGGTCTGGTGTCGCCCCCGCAGAAGACCCTGAACTTGGGGCCCAGAAGAGGGTGGAGAAGGGAAGACTGGTTGCAGCGAAGGCCCGCCAACTTGACTGAGTGAAGCGTAAGGAGCGCCGTCGCTCCGAAAGGTGCGGGAGGAAAGTGCGATGACAGAGAGAACCCCTTAACAGAGTTCTCGCGGTTCAGCGCAAGATTCGACCGGCAGGATTGACGCCCAAGCTGGGTTTAACGAGATCGAGAAGGGCTGCTGGACAGCGGACAATAGGACGGACCAATCGGGCTGCAGGAGATCGAAGACAAGATTCGGTTTGACTTGAATGAAGTGTTGGATTGAGAAGTGCACTTAATGTGTTTCAACGTGAGTGGTGACGATCGTCGGCACACTCAAAAGGGAGAGGGTGGGAGGCGACTGGTAGAAAAAAGAGTCGCAAAAGTGAAATGGGGGACCCTATTTTTTTTAGAGAGTATGATGTAGTACGCACCACACTCGGAAAAAAAGACCCCGTGGTCAAAGACGATGCGTCTAACCACGAGGACGGGAAAAGGGCAACGGCGAATCAAAGACAGCCGAAACACTTGGAGAAGCACGATGCAAGATGTAAGATATAAATGAAATTAAGAGCAATGGATTTCAAAAGATGTCACCAAGGAGGTGATGTGAGGGAGATGTCTCAAGGGGACAGAGGAGAACCGAGAATCAAGGCAGACGAGTGGAGGAGCAATTCTAGTATTATATAAAATACGAGGGGCGGGCAGAAATTTCCGCATCAAGGGTGAAAAACGGGCTGAGGAGTCTGAAATTTTTAGTTGAAGACGCCGCGTCGGCAAAGGCCCCGAGGCCGGTTTAGTCCCGTCGTCGTCCAATCACGCCGGTGGCTTTTAGTAGTCTTGAAATCTGGATGCTTCCGAGTCCATGGCCATCATCAGCTGTTCTGCAGCAATCCAGTAAGCAGTCACTCCTACGGGAATGGTCAATTTATGATTATTCAAAACATTGCTTGACCTCTTTGAAGAAACAGGAATCTCCTAGAATGATCCTGCTTTGTGGATCTTGCTTGTGTGGGATCGTATCTATCCATTCATTCAAGCTGCAAGCCTGAAATTTAATTACAATACTGGGCACCTGTCAAAAACTTTCCCGTGAAAGAATTATTTATATCTCTTTTGGCTGGCAAACCTGCACGTTCCAGATCCAATGGTTGCCGTGGACAGGACAGATCCGTGTGATCTACCCACCTCGTCCAATACTAGTATGTCTCATTTGCTAGTATCCTAACCAAAAATCAAACCACTTACTTCACTCTATCACCCAAGGTTCTCAAACGGAATTGCGCGAATAAGACCTCTCTAGGCAGCAATCTAAACAACCCATCCATCTCGTCTAATTGCTTCCGTGGTAACTGTCATAGGACGCTAAGTACTTCAAGTAAGTATGTCTTGCTTCCTCCTACAAAGTCTCCATCTCCATCTCCTAAGTGGCGTAATGACTGGTAATATTACCTTGCCACATGGAGCCTGACTTAGGGGGAGAAGGTCCTCCTCTGCTGCCCAATGAAGGCCAAGTTGATCGTAGCTGAGTCGCACTGCAATTCCAGCCCTGTGTATCCTATTCCACACACGAGTGGACGAAACAGGGCAGAAAGGATCAAAGTAGATCTGGCTCATTCTCGAAACACATCATCCTTCCGAATCCCCACAGGGGCATGCATGAAAACTTTTATGATATGATATGTATGTCATTGTCACACCCTTTCCACCAAATCATAATTAGCCTGTTCGGCTATCGTAGGACAATCAGTAAGGGGAGACCTCCATCTTTTTACTAAGGCTGGTCGGAAAAGTGTATTGTACTTGAAGGAGAGAGGAGGGCGGGGGGGAAGCGTTTGCGGCTGAGGTTATTTTTGTTTGTAACAATACGCACAAATCTTCAGGTCAGACCGAGACCCAATCAGGAGGAGCTTACTGAGTAGGTACTAATAAAGCGATCGCATGACTCCCAAAGAAATATGCATTGATTATTTGCCAGCGTAACTATGGATGGGTCAAGGAACTGCTTTCTGTAACTAAGTAGTAGTAGGTATTGATAACCATGTGACAAACAATGGTGATAGGAGAATTTGGGGAATAATCTTCGAACTTGGCTTTGTGGCACCTGGATCTAGCAAGCCCTGTGGCCCCTCACTTGCCCGCTTTCTGCTTCCCCGACGTCGGCCTTTTTTTTCTGCCTGCTATTTTTTGGAAACCCTTTTTCATTACCTTTTTTGACCACCGAAGAGCGCCAAGAAAAGAAAGAGTCACAACCTTAGTCGGAGCCGAGTGCGATAATAATTATTATTGTAGTGACTCAAGTCTATCTATCACTACTACGCTGGTGACTGGCAACAAAGAGTGCACTTGCCATCCATACTACGTACCTAACCTAGCAAGTCACTGGAGGCTTCATCCCGCTTCAGTTCACTTCTCTTTCTTTTTTTTCCTGATCCCTCCTTTGTCCTCCTTCCTCCACAATGGCTGCGACCTCCTTTGTTATCAGGACGCCCTGCTCTTCCGCCAACATCGGACCTGGGTTCGACGTGATCGGCCTGGCATTGTCCATGCACTTGGAGCTCCACGTCACAATTGATACCTCCAAGTCATCGCAACAACCACTTAACTGTCGCATCACATATGACGACCTGAGCAACAGTTCCGAGAAGATCAGTCTGGACCCCGAGGTCAACTTGATCACCCGCGTAGCACTTTACGTACTTAGATGCCATAGCCAACGGGCATTCCCTGCTGAGACCCATGTGCACATTGTAAACCCGATCCCCCTGAGTCGGGGTCTCGGTTCTTCTGGCACTGCCGTTGTGGCTGGTGTAATGCTGGGAAATGAGGTAGGTAAGCTTGGACTCAGCAAGGATCGTCTCTTGGATTATTGTTTGATGATCGGTAAGTCGCACGTCCATCTTCTTTTTGGAGGGAGGTGTTTCAAGCATGCTGCATGCGATTGATAATGACTGATGCCTCCTCGTTTGCTGGCCATCGCTCATCCGCTCAACAGAACGACACCCCGACAATGTCGCTGCCTCGCTCTTCGGAGGCTTCGTTGGCACCTACCTCAACGAACTCGCTCCCGAAGATGTTGCGCGCAAGGAGATCCCTCTCAGTGAAGTTCTTCCTTCTCCGGCTGGTGGCATTGACACCGGCAAGAGGCCTCCTGAGCCGCCCATTGGCATCGGCCATTACAGAAAGTTCCAGTGGGCCAAAGAAATCAAGGCTATTGCCATCATCCCCGACTTTGTCGTGCCGACCGCCAACGCCCGGAATGTTCTTCCTACCTCGTATACCAGAGCGGATGTTGTAAGTTTTGATTCCACCGTCGCCAAATCCGTACCGATAGCAGTGAGCTGCATCGGCTAATGCTATTACTTGGTTTAGGTCTTCAACCTCCAGCGCGCTGCCTTGCTCCCAGCAGCTTTGGGCAGCTCTCCGCCGGACCCAGACATGATCTATCTGGCCATGCAAGATAAGGTCCACCAACCATACAGACAGACTCTTATCCCCGGCTTGACGGAAATTCTTCAATCAATGAACCCACGTACGCAGCCCGGTCTGCTTGGAATCTGTCTGTCAGGTGCCGGTCCGACCATCCTTGCCTTGGCAACGGATAGGTTCGAAGAAATTGCTGACCGCATTATCTCTCGCTTTGCTACCAATGGCATCGCCTGCCAGTGGAAGTTGCTTGAGCCTGCCCAAGACGGCACCACTGTCCAATACTGAGAATCTGATAGCGATTTCCAGAAGTCGAATCCAACTCTCACGCAGAAAAAGTCATGATCGGAGAGGCAGTGATAGATATGACCGCCATGATTGGTGTATATGCTTTCATAGACGGTTAGAGCTTGGGAAAGGGCTCTATGAACAGTGGGCATAACGAAAGTGACTCTTCTTATTACTCACATTCATGAGATACATGCCCACAATTTCTTCCTACACTGTCGCCTAGACTTCAGTTCTTGAAATGACATCGAATAAACAGTTTCCCAGCAACTTCAGGATTGCCAAGGCACTTTGTGTACTCTTGTAGATTTGAGAACACTAGATCACCTGACAGGAAGAGAGCTTTTACAGATGCATTGCTAGAAGATATACCAACCGGCTACATATATCAATGGACTTTCTCTCCACGTCCCAAGAAGGATATAGAAAACAAAGAACCTAAAGACGATGTTCAAGCGATCGATGATGAGTGATTAGCTGCCTGGAGCATGATACGTCATGCCCGATACATGCCTCAATACGAATATTACCGTCTGTGTAACAGTACGGCGTCCGATTGACCCGCGATAAGCTGAGGCGGTGGACATGCGACCACCTCAAGCTAACCACGCCGGCAACGAAGTAAAGGGTGCCCCTTCGACCAGCGACCGTCTATATCGATCTGAGAAAGAGCCACATCGCGCTTCAATAAAAACATTCACAATGGAAAGCCTACTTGCACCGATTCAAGATGCTTTGGAAGGTCAAATCGTGAGTTCTTGGGTTTCCTCTGCGCCCGCTGTTTGGGTGATCGTTATTGCAGCCACCTATGCGTTTACTTCTATCTACCTATGCCGAGTGAATGATTAACGTTTCCATCAATAGGACTTCCAAGGCCAGCGCATTGCAGAGCTTCTTAGCACAGTGCTTCTTGTTCTGTCGGGTGTAAGTCATATTATTCTACGGTGATGTTGGTGTTGTTGTCTTCTGGTCCGGTTGCTTACTATTGTCGCTTTGTTAAGGCCGTTGCTTTCATTGTTGGATACATCTTCCAGGATATTCATCTCACACTTTGGGTCGGATTGGCCGGCACGTTAATAACTGGGTTGGCCGTCATTCCGCCTTGGCCTATGTACAATAAGAATCCCGAGAAATGGCTTGTTCCCTTGACGGCGGGCGTGGGAGGTGGTGCAGGCATCATGGTAGATGGAGTTAAGGTTGCGTGAGACAAAAGTCGCGGACTTTGGACATGTCTAATTTATATCCTGAATCAATCACAACTTGTCCGCTTGCGTGTGCACAAACAAAACCTGCATCAATAATTTTGAAAGCCGCTGCTGAGAACTGCGAAATGAACCACAAACGCCGTAGAAAGCCCTCCCTTCCGGTTCTACCTTGTACGGGATACTGTAAAACATAGGAGGTGATCCGCCCGTATTCGAACCCTGCGATCTTCGGACACGCGTTTACCGGCCGTACTTCTGGAACTCCCAGTCCCTATTGTCGAGGGGACAAACTTGACGGGTTTTCAGCCATCGCGAGATGCAGTGGAAGTGGAACGCGTGCTAGGGGTCGAGAAAGGTCGGCGTTAGTGTGGGGTGCAGAATGAGTGTCTGGAAGAGTGAACTTACGTTGCAGATACCCCAAGCGACTGTACACTCCTCAGTCGTAGACGAACCTTGGTTGGCTTGGCACTCGATACCTAGCAACGATTAGACATTAGACGCTGTATTGCAGGAAGGCATGAAGGATCCGAGACGTACAGAGATCCATGATGTGGTTACGGCAAATTGCGCAGTTGTCGACGACGATATCCCACGCCCACAGGGCGACCGCGTTCCACTGGAGGAGCAACCCAATTAGCTTCAACGGTACTCGGAGAGAAAGCCCACGTCTCTGGCGCTATACCTTCTTAACCTCAAACTTCTTCTTGCCGTCACTGGCACCTTCGGAAGCTTTCGATGAGCCCTTCGCTTTGACGGCGGCGGAGCCGGCTTCTTTCATTTCCACATCCGCCATGTTGCGAGCCTTAACGCTTTGACGGCGCTTAGTCTGTCGAAAAACCGGTCACAGGTCGGGACAGGTAACGAGCTGAGCAGGGTTCGGAGGAGGGGCACGCAGATAGATTAATTACGTAGGTTGCTCGGAAAGTGGTGGTGCCTGACCTAGGTACTATTGGTAGTAGTTGTGGTTAGTTAGCTGATAACCCGGGGGATGATTGCGGTGTGAGCCCACCGGCAATACTCTGGCGGCCGTAGATCGAGAGGGGCATTTGGCTTACCCGAGGAACACTGACGTAGTAGGGAGTTTCTACCAAAGGAAAGCTGATGCGAAATGATAAGAGCAGCAAGAGATATGACTCTTTTGTCTTTTATTTCATTCGAAGTCGAGTACCTTGTTGGGGAGAATGATGGCCTGGGGTATGAAGCGAGATAAACAGCAGCTGAATGGGATTTGGTTTTGTTCTGTTTGCAAGGCTGGCCTGGCAGTGGCGTAAGAACTCTACTACTACCTTTGTTACTACTGCTTTTCGTGACTGAACTTGTGACTTGTACCAAATGGCTGAGTCATCGCCGATGATCCCCGCTTGGTTCGTCCCCCAGCCATTCTTAGGTTTCGCCCGCCCTTCCCAAAGTCCAGTCGCTACTCTCTCACTTCAACCTTTCCCTCCCCAAAGCCTCGGTCAAGACCTACGATGTACCTCAGCTTTCCTTTACTTGCTGCCTTTATTCGCCTATCTAGACGTGAGCATGCCTAGGAGTCTTGGCTTACTGCTTCCTTTGCGCTTCCTTCGACTCTAATAATAGACGATTTCACTCTCCGACTTGTTCCCTCCCATCTGACGTCTTTCCGATCAATCAAAGACCAACTCGTCGGGCCACACACTCAGTGCCCAGCACCTAGCAACGGTCTCTCTCTTGTCCTTGTCTCCTGATAGTTCTATCCAGCGTTGAATCATCGAGTACGGGCTGCTGGACAGTGCTTCGTACCACCGCCGACTCGTGACTATCGTTCGAGTCGCTTCTTATCGCTATTGTTTTTGTTTTCTGGTGCTGCTGCTGCCGCCGCCGCCGCCAGTCGTTTTCGGTTTCTCTTCACAAGGCTGCCTATTTCTTAAGCCTATCTGACCATCATGTCAACTCAATTGCCCAACCCTCCGACGCCAAAGGGGTCGCGAAACAATCGACGCAATTCGAAGAGGACCTTGACACCCTCTACTCAGAAAGTCGCCATACTGGCAACCCCTCCCTCGTCGCCGCCAAGGAACTCCAGTCCTGGCGGGACCGCCACCGATTCCTCGATTAATATCAACGCCACCAAGAAGAAGCACAGTCGGTCCGGCAAGAAGCCGCGCGACGCATCCAAAGCATCCCCAGCGCCTAATGGGCACCGTCATACTACTTCTCAACCTAATAATACCATCGCCACCCCGCAAGTAAAAGACAGCCCTCATTACGCCGGCCCGACTTTCCATGCATCTCCAGCACCGTCGGCACTACCTATCCCCAGTTTCTTCTCCAAGTCTCTACCAGAGTCGGATCTTGCACCGGCCTTAGAGTCCGACGGTGATCATCTCGATGCTGAGCCGGATCTGGAGAACACCCCCTCAAAGCCGAAGTCGCGCCCACAGTTTCAGGAGGAAGAGCGTCAGTCAACACCCTTGGATTTTCTCTTCAGAGCTGCAGTCGAGGCCAGAAACCCCCAGCAGCAACAGCAGCGAAGCCCCGAAGCAAGCAGTCGGGTCCGGTCGCCACAGACTGATTCTAAGACCCTTCAACACCGTAGGCCCAATGGCACTGCTAATGGGCTCTTCCGGTTGGAGATGGAAAGCCCGGAGTTCCAGCATTCGCAAATTGGGCCTTCCTTTGCGACCTCTTACAAGGACCGTATGAACGCGTTACGATCGGCCAGCTCACCTTCTCCTCCGGTATGTGATTTCGATGAACAGGAGAAGAGAGCTAAAACCGAAGCTTTGAAAACTTTGTTGCTCAACCCTCGCCCCCAGAGACCCTCGTCTGCATCTATCACGGCTCAAGATCACAGCAACCCAGTGATGGAGCGGCCTGCTTCAAATCCCGGCGTACCTCACTTTGCAACGCCAGTGAGAACGACTTCTGGACCCCCCGCTTCTATCTCTCATGGTATGTCATATGATCAGAAACAAACTTTCGTCGGAAATGGTCGGCACTATTCCTCATCCTATACGCACTCGAATGCTGCTCAGCAGTACCACTTGCAAAACTCTCCGTTGAGGAAAGAAGTTCTTACTTCGAAAGTCGAAAATATGCCGAGCGTTCATGGCCAAGCTTTCTACCCTCCAGCCGCGTACGACCAGCCCAAATCTCCTCCTAAGTATGCACAATATCCTACGTATTATTCTCCTCCGCAGCACCAATCTCCTGTCTCACGGAGCGTGTCAGTGAGCAACAACGCGCAGCCTTATGACACGAAGAAGATAGAAGATGATCTGCGAAGGATCTTGAAGCTTGATGTGAACCCTACCATGCCAGCCAACGGCATGCAAAGCTCTTTCGCCTGACTCGACTGTCTTTGGCGTCTCGTTATGCCTTCCTTCCTTTCTCTTATTTCTTATTTCATCCGTTCATTTCACGATATCAATCTATCACAAAGGGCACAGTCTTGACGAACAGTGCTGGGGACACTAGCTGGATCCCACTGGCCATGTGAAGCATGGTTCTCATTTTTATTGGGCTACCGCAACTTACGTTCACATCCTAATCATCTTGTGCTTTATGTCCTAAGTTATGTTTTCCTGACGAAGTATCGTCTATGTCCTTCTCAGGGGTCCTGTTCTGTTGTTCTCCGCGGTTTCATGTTGGTAGCGGCTATCCTGGCGATTGAAGGGGGGTTATCTTTTCCCCTAGTATGTCTTCGAACCTCTATTTGCATTGAACCCCGGAGTCCGGTTGCCTTTGGCGTGCTCTTTATGGGACTGTTGGTTTGGGCGAGGTTTCTTAACGTCTACGGATATCCGTGATGACACTCGTTAATGTTGTTACAATCTGACATTTTTTTCTTGCTTGTCTTGCTTCATGTTTATCCATTCTTTCTGTTTCATCTTTATCATGTCTCTTTCTATCAATACTTGTCCTTTGTGGGCTCGGTTCCAGGTTTCGCCTAAGGCGATGAACGATAACTTTTCTACTCTTTTTTGGGTTCGGCTCTCTCGTCTGCTGGACGAGAGTTATTAAGGCCAATCCAGGACTGGTTGTTTCCTGACATGTATCATGAAGGCCTTTCGTTTCTCTTCCTATCCTTTCTTATTCCTATGTGTCATGTACCTACATTCGTTTCGAAGCCCCTGGTCTTCACGGTGGGTTTGTCCATTGTCGACACAAATCCACATCAACGGCTATCCCAATTATACCTTCGTTCAGCCGGATGCTATCATTTACTCCATTTACACTTCTCCACTTCCTATACTGTAATTTATGCAGACCAAATGGCCAGAATTTGGCGAATGGTAATAGTAATAGTAATGGTGGTGATCATAATTCTAGTATCTCTGCCAAGCGACAGCTACTATATGTCTCAGGGACACTGTAGCGACCATATCAAGATACTGTCTAGTCATCTCCAATTAGTAGTCCGACGTCTACTAACTAGCGAAACCCCCCGAGTACCCAAATTAGCAACTGTCTCCCGCTACTAGGTCCTGGATCCTTACTTGACATCTCCACGGAGCAGGTAGGGGAAAACATGGATGGATAAGGAGGCCCGAATCCGGAGTCCAGAACCCGAATGGAAGCCGCCCGGGGCGGCAAGCCCAACCTCAACGGCGAATGGGGAGTTCCCGAAAGCGTCAATCCACTCTTTGCTGTTCTGGGCTCCACTTCCGGTATTGCAAATTTCGCTACTAGAGAAAGTCTGCCTCCACTGCAATCCCACCATCACAGTGAAAAGACATAAGAGAAAACCCGTGATAGCGGACAGGGGCAAGAAAGGGTATTGCGTGGTGGGTGATTGATGGGGTAATTCCCAAGGGATTGCGATATTGATGGTTGTTTGTTTCCTGACCACTTCTTCTACCCCCAGTCAGAGGCACAGTACTTTATTACATGCATAGTCAAGTATGCACGTAATGCCTGGTATTCGTAATGATGGCTAGGTAGCTACATGAACAAGTACTAACGTATCTGAGACAGGTCTTGAATGCATGATCCACTGGTTTAGATGCTCTACTACTTCTATCTGATACATGTCCAATGAACGGGATTGCTGGTCCTTCCGACAAGCGAGATAGGTAGATACAAGAACTGTTTTCATCGGCTACTAGATATAACTCCTCGTGCTAATCGAGTTCTAGGTGTTCGTGGGGTCAACTTTCCCCGTAAGATGAAAGGGGGTGGGTGTCCTGTGTTGCATGAATGGGTTCCCCAATTGGCGAATTATTCCAGTAGTCTACATCGTAGGTCTCTGGGGTATAGGCTTTGAGATTGAGGACCCAGCCTGAAAAGATATTAATCCTAATGTCTTTGGGATAAGAAAAGGTTCATTTATGCAATGTATTACATGCCGGGATAAATATAGGTCATATGGATATACTTACTGCGGTATACGCAGTAGTACTTCTCACCTACCTACATAACACTAGTCACATTCAGGTACCCGGCGTATATCTGGCTTTACTGGCACACAGAGTTTACAGGGTCCTTTGTGGGCTGTTTAATTCCCTTGGTAATACTTAGTATAATTGGAAGCTAGGAGGAGCAAGGATCAGGATGATTGGCATAGATACTCCGGTTCGATAAAGGGAAAAGGTCCCTACATGAAATCGACTCATGTCTACCATTTAGATTTCAAAGTTTTGTCCATTTCTATTTGGGAATATTAACACCGAATGCTTCTTCTAGGGTAGTATAATTTTAGTGTTCAGCAACTGTGGCTCGCCTGACTCAAATCATTGACCATTAACTCACTGCCTTTCCACAGGCCTTGAATTCAACATAAAGAAGGACCCCGACCGTCTGCGGGAGGGGCTGTAGACAAAGTCAGCCACTGCAGTCATGGTTTCTTAGCCCTATCCAGGAAGATTTTCAAGAAAAGGTGTGATATCACACGCGTACCGCCGCAACTGGATAAGGATTGCCACCGAGATGGAAGTTGGTGGCGGGTAAGGAATGTTAAGAAGTGGTGTCTGCAGGAACGGACATTTTAGGTAGTGGTGAGTTGAGTATTATGTGATGCATGATAAACTCCCTCCGGTTTAAAGCAGGGAAATCCAAGTAAACCATACAGAGCGACTAGAGAGGAGGAATTCCTCAAGAGGATTCGAGAAAGTCCTACATAGAAAGATAACTAACTAAAAATAAGCTAGTCATTTGAGGGGGGGAGATTGAGTTAGCGTTGAATGTGTAACCGCCGGTACATTGCGAGGCAATCTAAAGTGACTGCGAAGAGTAATTAATGATGTGGCCCAGTCCCTGGTTCCGGACGCCTTTCCAGGGGGTCAAACGACGAATCGTCGCTGCCGGCCTCGCCCCAAAAAAAAACCCACGGCACGCTAGTTGGTGAAGGGCCCCAAAGGGAGACGACGACGACAGCAGCAGAAGGAGAAGGAGATTAAAAGAAAGGTGGAAAACGACGACAACAAAAGTTGAGAAAAAGAATTTTGACGGAACCAAAAGAGAGAGAAAGAATATCTAAAGTTGTTTCTTCATCCCAAAAGAAGAGGGAAAAGCGCTTTCTCCAATTTCTTCTTCCTGTTCCCTTTCCCTATCCTTTCCTTTTCCCTTCCTTCCCTCCTCTCTCCCCTCACAAGGAGACTAGACCCAAAGACCGAGATTCAATTCTCATTTTCTCCAATTATCCAGTCCTTCCAGACCAACCCCATCGCATCCCTCCCTCCCTCGCGCGCTTGCTTTCGCGCTCTCTCTTTCTGGCTGGTACTGGCACCATCTCATCGTCTTCCTACTCTCCTGTTCTTTCAAATCTCCACATCTTCTTCCCTCTTCCCACGCCCCCTTCTTCCCCCCCTTCCAACTTTCTTCCTTCTCCCACCTTCCTCTAATACCAATCGCCTCTTAGTGCTGTCACTTAGCGGTTCCCTAGCCGCCCCGTTTACCCACCGGCCCTCCCAGCAAAACTTCCTCTACATTATTATTTGGTTTCCGCTCCTCATCCATCTATCCGCGGTACTCAATTCCGGTCTTGGACTTTCTCCCCCATTAAATACTCCTCGTTCGCTGTTTCACAAGGAGATAGAGAGAAAAAGAACAATTAGTGCTGGTCTAGTCCGCTTGCCCTCTGTCACTGATTATCTGTCTGGATTCCAATCATGGCGAATGCGTGAGTATCTCCCTTTTATTGAAACACACCTGGCCACGTCTCCCGAGAATCCAAGTTCAGCGGTTGACGCTTTTCTAAACCATCCACAGCATCGGCTCAGCATGGCGGTCCTTTTGGCATACGATGACTTCTTATGATCGCCATGCTTCCCATGACTCGCCGTATCGAACCGGTAAACATGTGCCTCTTAGTCAAAGTCGACATGAGCCTCTCACATCCATTGCAACAAGCGCTATCGAATCTCGACCGGATCTGACTTCCCCGTATGATGACGATCAGCCGAAAGGCTCAAATGGCTGGTCCGGCTCCCCTACGGGAGGGGGCTCGCCCAATCGCCCATACTCTCCTGGAATGCGATCACTGTCATCTCAGAAGCGTCAATCCGCAGATCCCAATGCGGATGGTGCTCCGGAGATCCAGATGCAAAGTTTCCATGATGGTGCACCGCCCCCTCCACCCATCGCTCATTCATGGAGGAAGATTGAGAAATGGCTGGAAAATAATTACCAGGAGCTTTGGGATAATCTATGTGAGGGCTGCACCCAAAATGACATTAACGAACTGGAGCACGAACTGGACTGCAGCCTACCGTTGGAACTGCGGGAATCTTTGATGGTCCATGATGGTCAGGAGCGGGGAGGGTTGCCCACCGGTGTCATCTTTGGCTGCATGCTTCTGGACTGTGAGGAGATCGTTCAAGAATGGAAGAACTGGAGGGTAGTCAACGAGGAGTTTTTGAGCTCGTCTATGATGAACGCTCCTTCAAGGCCAACTCCCAGTTCATCGTCCGCCGTGCCCCCTGCCCCGGGTGCTAATGGTGCGTGGAGAAATGATCTGCTCGAGCGACAGGACTCGCAGCCCCCCGGTGCAGTCCAGAAGGCCTATGCTCATCCGGCTTGGATTCCCCTGGCTCGCGACTGGGGCGGCAACCATATCGCTATCGACTTGGCCCCAGGACCTGCTGGAAAGTGGGGACAGGTTATCATCTTTGGCCGGGACTACGATTGTAAATACGTTGTTGCTCGGTCCTGGTCTGCCTTCCTTGCTACACTAGCAGATGATATTTGCAGTGGCAAAGTTTCTGTGGATGAAGAGACGAATGAGATGAAGCTTTTGGAGTTCAAGTCGCAAAACGTGGAACCCCCCTACTTGGAGATCTTGAGGTGGAGGGCCGATCAGAAGTACGGCAGGAGAAAACCTAGGCGCAAGGCTCCGAATGGCCTGGGATTG